CCCCAAAACCCCAAAACCCCAAAACCCCAAAACCCCGCAAAAAATTAAAATAATTGAAATTTTGCAGACAAATGCTTGAAGTTAAGATAGACGTTGAGTACTTCGTAAAGATGATCGAAGCATTGAAGTTGGTCGTCAATGAATGCTACCTGAAGTTTACTAAGCAAGGTATGACCATTCAGTGTATGGACCCAGCCCAAATTGCTCTTGTGCATATGTTCATGGAGAAGGAAGGATTTGATGAGTATACTTGCTCCAGGCCACTCAAATGTGGTGTGAACCTTGAACATTTTGGAACTATTCTGAGCTTATATAAGCACCCTACTGACAAACTCACCTTGACTATTGATGAGCTTAGTGGTTCTGATAATACTACTTCTCAAGCTGACACTGAATTTATGAGCATTCTTATTGAAGATCAGATAGGAAAGAGAAATACAAGTTTCATGATGAAACTTACGAAATTTAAAGAGACAGTTCCTAAACCACCAAAGATCAAAACATTTAGATTGTTATGTATGAGATCCTCAGATTTTTCACATATTTGCAGAGACCTTGAAAATATCTCAGATAAAGTCTTACTGAAATTCATCGAAAGGGGAATAATGCTTAGCGTCTCCTCAGACCTTGTCGATGGCCACATTCAGATCACTGACAATGACACAATGGCTTCTCCTGAAGAACACAAACAAACTCCCAAGTCCAAGACTACCAAAGACCCCACCAGCCAGGATGAGTCTGGCGATGAAACAAGGATCCCTCAGCTCATGTCAGCTGTCGACGAAGGGTCTCTGAACGTAGCTCACTTGCTCGGAGGGCTCTCACTCAAAGGTGACAAAGGCAAGAGTTTCTCTTTAAAGTACCTCAACATTTTCAGCAAAGGCGAGATCTTCAATTCAGTCGTGAAGATTCATCTTCCAGGCGCCACCAAGGCCGACAAGAAAGAGCCTTTGATGCTGGAGTTCAAGATCGGCAAGGTTGGAGTCATTAAATACTACCTTGCACCTAAACTAGCAGACTAACATATTTTCAGGCAACGCTATGACATCGTTTTTCAATATTTGGTCTTCTGAAAGGGGTTTTGGGGTTTTGGGGTTTTGGGGTTTTGGGG